AAGTCATGTACGGCATAACTTACGTCCACTTCGGAACGTTGTGCAGGTTTTAAAGTGACATTTCTACCTTTCTCATTCGTGCTTCTCGTATCACCAATTCCCGCTCTACGTGGAATCTCCCAATTTTTTTCTGTAACCACATAGGAAGTCTGCCAATGAAGTTTATTTTACTGTCTACATCGCTCTATTTCGAACAGGAATTAACGACACTTGTTGGGATGGAACTCGTTGATCATTGCCGCAAATGGTCACACCACAACAGGGATATCCTCCTGCACATATGCCTAGAATGTCTATGAATGTCACAAGTTATTATTACCCCTCATTCTCGCACTTTCCGCCCTGGATTTTTTATTTTTATTCTACACGTGTATAGTACGTGTTTTACTAATAGATAGGGTCTCAGAAGATCACAAACAAAAAGTTAGATCAGTAGTGTACGTATTCATGAATTTACAGCCAGGACATCAAATTAGATCATCTGGACTCTTTTGTCAAGAAAAGGCAGAAATGGTAAATTTGTTTCTGCTGTGCCCTATAGTGCACAAAATCTTAACATACGTAGTATTTGAAAGTGCTCTTAAACAACCTAAACCACAAAGAGCTCTTAAAAAAAACTTCAGGACTTCAACCCTAAAGGACCGCATTCTCGCCTCTGTTGGCCGCGTCATCGTCACCAACGACCTCGGTCCAGATTCTTTTTTACGGCTCCATTCTCCGCAATATTGTAACAAAGGTGGTGTCAGTCGAAGTGGGGTTAGTTGAAGAAACGCTTCTCTATAAATGATCCGGATGGATTGCGTTTTCAAGGTTCTAGAAAAATTGTGTAGTGTAATCAATTCGTGACACCGGGGTCGAAAGGGCTAAACTTCTACCTGCATTTCCATAGCTCTCTCAGCCGGCAATTTCAAGTGACGAAGGAGGATTTGAATGTCTTCTGCATTGAAAAGGGAAACTTGAAAACATGAGGCAAGTGCTGACGGTAACGTTTCCACAAGCGTACTTGTCTTTTTCAAGACTGCCACTGATTTGCTCAGCGCTTAGTGTGCGTGCCTCGTACCCTCTCCCCCAATAAAAACAGCATGAAGACAGGGCAAGAGCAAAAAAGGGGGATGGGTGGGAGACAATGAGTGGCAGCCAGGGCGAATGAAGTGAGTTAGAAGGCAGAAGGTTTTAGTTTTTTTTTTAGATATTCTGTGGAGGCACATTGCGAAAAAAGAAATAGGAATGTGTTGGAGGAGAAAGGGGATACGTGTCGCTTAGCTATGGTTGTCGCAAAAGTAAGTATCACATCAAATGTCAAGAAAAGAATTCATAGATTACGTCTAGAAGGTTTTTGAAAGCCGAAGCGCACGCCCGGTACGGCAGGCAGCCCTATGTGAGGAGACAATGGTTTGTTCTACGTGAATTGCCTTTTCACAGCCTCGCAGCACTTGTGAACGCGATGGCGGTAAAGAGCATCGTTTCGCATTAATTCTGGGGTTGTTTTTCGCGTCGCTGGTTGCGAAACAGAAATCATCAAATTCTCCGTGACCGTAACATCTAGAAAGATGCCAATCAACTGAACAAAAATATTTAGGTCTTATTGAGAATGAAACCCAGGCCACAAGTATTGGTCTACTAAAGAGCCACGATGTTTGTTGAAACTGCTTTTGAAAAAAAAAACGTGTGAGACATTTCGCTAGCGCATCCTAATGGCATGACAGAAGCGTGGAATCGAGCCAGACGTGAAAACCTATTAATTGAGCAACGAGAAGGTCTGTTGAAGGCCCACCTATTACAAAGCGCTATGATGTACTTAATCATCATCGAGCAACACCATCGACAAAGTAAAGGGCTGCATATAGGTTCATTTGTCGTTCCATGGGCGTGTAGTGTGCCCTTCACTGATTAGCAAAAGAAAAAAAAATATGTTGTGGTGGTCACACATTACAATTCTGCTTACCGTGCGGATTCAATGATACTTTGAAACGGCTAATCGCGCTCACACTGGTTCCCATCCTTGCGCCCCGGTTGAGATATACACGGAGAACCAAAGGAAGCTATAGGAGTTCAGAAAGCAATTAATGCATACGACGCCAGATTGTGCTATAACGATCTGCTTTGGATGACTGAGCTTAAGCGTCTTCCAATTTTTAGCTATAACTGCCACCTATGCAACTTGCATTTCAAAAACCGAAATCTCAGTTATTTTCATCTTTGAGGATCCCTGCGATAGCAGAGCAACCACGTCAGAAACCGACGAAATTCCTGTGCTAGCGAAATGGCATGTGTTTCGAATGCAGCTTCGGGCAAATATCATCTGCTTTTCAAATGCGAGGCATTTCTTAGCGAACGTCGGCGAATTCGAGCGTATCTATCTATCTATCTATCTATCTATCTATCTATCTATCTATCTATCTATCTATCTATCTATCTATCTATTTATCTATCTATCTAGCCAGCCACTTGCGACTTTAGCTCTCGTGGCCGCTTCGATAATGGAATCCATACCAATCTTGGTATGGCATAGTATGACTGTATGTAGAGCATAAGTGACTAATCACAACATGAAAATTGTGACATGTATGTCATGAATGTCATAAATTACATTTCATGGCCTTGCTGCTCTTCTGGTCATTTCATTTTCATTGCACGTTGAAAATATGACATGACTCGAGGGCGAACATGAGTGAGAGGCCCTAGCATGGAAATCATGACATGTATGTTATGTAAGTCATGACTACAGCCACACGTATAGTGCACTCGCGTCATTTCGCTAGCTTCACACATACGAAATTTTGTTTACGTGATGCGAACTTAAGACAAAAGTAAATGACATGCCCGAACATGATAATCACGCCATGCGTGTCATGCAAAACAGGATTACATGCTACTCTCATAGTGCGCTCGCGGTCCTTTCGCTAGCTTCACGTAAACCAAGTTTGGTGTTACGCTACATCAATGGACGACGAAGTTGAATGATACGTTCAAACATGACATGTAAGACATGTAAAACATTACTACATGCTACACCCGTAGCGCACTCGTGCCCGTTTCGCTAGCTCTACATATACCAAATTTGGTATGATGAGACTTGAATGGACGACGAAGGTAAGTGACACGTCCAACCAAGATAATCATGACATGGAAGTCATGCACAGCATAATTTACGTCCGCCTCGTAACGTTGTGCTGATTTTAAATTGACATATAAACCTTCTTCCTTCGTGCTTCACATAATATTGATTCCAACTGTAAATTGGATCTGCCTTTTTTTCATTTCTCAGCGCACTTCAGAGAGTTCTACAGTATCTATCTATCTATCTATCTATCTATCTATCTATCTATCTATCTATCTATCTATCTATCTATCTATCTATCTATCTATCTATCTATCTATCTATCTATCTATTATTTATATGTCTGTCTGTCTGTCTGTCTGTCTGACTGTCTGTCTGTCTGTCTGTCTGTCTGTCTGTCTGTCTGTCTGTCTGTCTGTCTGTCTGTCTGTCTGTCTGTCTGTCTGTCTGTCTGTCTGTCTGTCTGTCTGTCTGTCTGTCTGTCTGTCTAGCCACCTACAACTTTTTGCGCCTCTTGCCGCTTCGATAATGGTATCTATACCAAAATTTGTATGTCAAAGCATAACTCAATGACAAGCATAAGTGACATCTCATAACATGAAAATGGTGACATGTATGTCATGAATGTCCTGATTTACATTTCATGGCGTTGCAGCTCTTACGGTAGTTCCGTTCACGTGAGGTATTGCGAAACTGTTATGCTAACAAGAGACTGCATACCAAACATAATTGACAGACCCTGACGTGGAAGTTATGATGTACAGGCCATTTAGGTCGTGATTACTCGACATGCTCATTAAGCGCTCGCGGCCCTGTCACTTGCTTCGCATTTACCAAATTTGGTATTACTTTACATGAATGAAGACAAAGGTAAGTGACACGGGCGAACTTGATATTTATGGCATGCGTGTGATGTAAAACAAGGCTACATGCCACGCTCACAGCGTGCTCTACATAAACCTAATTTGGTTTCACATGACGTGAACAGACGACAAAAATAATTGACACGTCCAAACATGAGAATAATGAGATGGGTTTCATGCATATCATGGCTACATGCTATGCTCATAGCAGGCTCGCGGCCGTTTCGCCAGCTGCGTATACACTAAATTTGGTATTACGTGACGTGAATGAACGAAGAACACAAATTCTAGGCGCTAAAATTACAATCTTCTAATGGAAGTGATGTGCGGCTTAATTTACGTCTGCCTCGTAACATTGTACTGATTTTAAAGTGACATATCAACCTTCCGCATGCATGTTTCGCATATCATCGATTCGCACTCTACGTGAGATATGCCTTTTTTTCTTTTACGGTCTCTGCATAACATCACTGCAGATCAGGCGACACTCAAGCTACTCAGCGATACGTGATCGGACTTCGCAAATGCAAAAATGTGCTGATAGAAACCGCTCAGCGTATATTTCTCGTTTTACCGCCACGATGTGATTGAGCAGTCATGTGAATGTGGTTTCAGAATGACTGCTTCAACTAAAAGCTTGTGGTAGACATCTGGGGAGAAAACGGCTGTTTATATTCTGTTTGCACATAATGTATTGTTTTGTTGCATGAAAAGCCTTAAAGGGCAGCGAATGGCATAATATGCCTTCTTCTCCCGCAAACGTATTAGTCCAGGTAAGCATAGATATAAAGGAGGTATAGTTTAAAGCAATTTGAAAGCTGAGGCTGTTCTGTGAGTTGCCTAACTGGTATTTCATCCCGATATGCACGTTCACGAGACATCGGGTTTGATATGCTACATTTTGGGTAGAGAGTTCTGCAAGGTTGATCTCACTATAGACGTTACGATCCAGTTGTCCTCCCTTGTGTCTACCTTCCGCAGAAGCTCCGCGTATCAGTGTAATGAGGTATGCACTGGAGTTTTACAAGCTAAATGATACCTCGTTCTTGAAGCGATTGTGCCTCCAATTACGCAAATGCAATATCCGTAGTACATTTATTTATATTTCATGTGCGCGGCCTAAAGCGATGTGAAATACATATAAGTAGAAGACATAACAAGAAGCACAATGATCACAAATAACAGGAAAGCATTGCGGTTTGATTGGACAGCGTAATGAGGATTTAAAAATAGGCCAATCACGCAATAGCACTCCACATTGTCTCTTCAAGTGATTTCAGTCCCAGAGCACTCCATGCGCGCCACTCCGGTAACCAGGCGCTTGCCAATGCTGAAAAATACCACTGTCATGGCCTTCATAGTATGCAACATTCTGGCCATTGGACGATCGATAACTCGCATATATTGCAGGTAGCTCACACGCGGTCACAATCCCACTCTATGCACACAACTGAATTGCAGCGAAATTGCGTCGAATGCCCGCGTTAGTTCACGACTGCATAGACAAGACTTGAGCAATGAACAGTATCGCTCCAGTGGGTTCATGCCGAATGAGCGCTAAAAAGGGACGATCAACGGTGAACTGCTTGAAGTGGACGAGGGACTTCGACACAAACTGCGCTTGCGTCGCCGCGACGGCACGTGTCCCTACTTCGTCAACGTCTAATGCCGCTTTGTGAAGGATCTCGTTGAGCCGCAAGTCCTCAGCTTTGCTTATTCCCTTGAAGTCCGCCGCATCAGTGAAGGGAACTCTCAGGCCTAACTTTTCCAGCGGCGCACGTAGTTTGAGCATCTTCTGCACACTCATTTTAGGAAGGCTCAGCTCAACTTGCTCGGGCTCCATCTCCCCGATAATTTCATTTAACTTCGCAGCAGTAAGCCCCTGCACGACGCTCGAGAGAGGGCTCTGGCGGCTTCGCGGAAGCATAAGGATCATGCTATACTGGTTGTCTGCGTACGGTACACGGAGTGCGTCCACATTCAGCTCGTCATCATGGCTAAAGTCAAACGTCTCGATGACAAACATAATGGGAACGTTTGCGGTGGTTCCGTCCTCGTTGCGGAAAACACGCTTGTCGGTGAACTCGGGATCAAACTGGGTCTTCCAGTCACTTTTGAAGTACATGGCATTCAGTACCAGCATCTTCGTTGTCTCCTCGGGGACCTCTTCCAGGAACTGAGGTATACGCCCCTGAGTCTTTCTGCTGGCCCACTCGTTGACCTCTTTGACGACATCACTTCCACGACCTTCACCAAATTGCACTGTGGCAAGGCTGGCGTCGAACAGTCTGTTGATCTCGCGATAGTAGCTGGCATTAAAGGAAGCGCCTTCTTGAATGAGCACTGCCGAGGCGTGATCCAGAGCTACTTTCCTGCTGTTTCCGTCAGGAGATGACATCTTATGCAAAAGTTCGCTCATGAGAGAGCTAGAAGGATTGCCCATCTGTGCGGACATTTGGTAGGCCGTGCGTCCACGTGCTCCTATAAGTACCATATGAAGAACGATGTTCACACTTATTGGGGAGAGAAGCACATTCTGGTCGCCTAAGGCTTTCAGCATACTGATTCCCAGACCGTTGTTGCTATTCACAACATCACTAATGGTTTCCTGGGAGCGTCGCCACGCTTTTGGCGCCTTGCGCTCCCTAATAGAATCTATAAGGCCTCCCTGAACTCCAAGAGGAGCTACGACGCACAGAAAAAGCCACGTCACTTGCATTTTCACGACACTGGCTTATTACAGTCTTGCGTATCCAAGAGAGTTCAGCTTGCTGGTGGGATTTCCCAGTGGCGAGTAGCTGTGCGAAAAAACAAACAAAAAAGAGCTTGTCTGTGTGAAGACCAGTATACTTCTTTCATGCACAAAACTCCATTTTTGACGGGAAAGGGTGCTCTATTGAAAAAAGTTGGCAAGTCATTTACAGAAAACAATTTTTTTCACAAAACAAAAATTTACAATTTTAGTTCAAAAGATATAAGGTGGTCACTTGAGGTGACCACCATGCAGTGATCGTTTACTGGTCTTTTCAGTGAAAGCAAAGATTTCAATTTTTATAGTCCCTAGCGCTAGCTATTCATGCAGCACGCTCTCCTGCACTATAAATATGATAAGAACTGCATCTTCCTTTACAAGGAAAACTAAAATATCACGTCTCAGCCCTCTAGCGTGCCTTGAGGACAACTGTAGCTGGAAGAAACCAAGCATGACATGACACATTTAAGCCCAAACAAAGTAGCGCCATCTCTGTCAGATTGCCGAAATATCTAATATATGCGCCATTTAAAATCCGACACGCAGGGCTCACGTGCTGCAAGCGGGAAAAATGAAGAAAAGGTGGTTCTTGGGCTGACCACTGCGATGGAAAGAAATACGTGCAGCGAAGAGTCCTGTCTACAGAGAAACAACAAAAATTGCAGGGCAACCAAAGAATCATCATGCGTGTGAAAGCTAGCTAAGTTAATCGTAAGAAATTGGTTCTTTTTTCGTTATTTTTTGTCAGATATAACTTGACGCTTAGGGGAAACAACAGTCAAGCTGTTCATTTGGACAGAAGGTAAACTAGTCCTTCCGCAATGCTGTATTACGGACTGATAGCATAACATGGCGTTAATTTGCAACAAAAATATGCTTCGTATTCATGCTAGTTTGATTAATTCAACCAAAAAGCTTGAGAACAAAATAGCAAGCAAACACAAATTATAAGATTCACACTTTCTTCCTCGTCTTCGATGTTCGATGACGTTCATTACACTTTGTGCAAGTATGTAGTACATGTAGTAAGTTTGCCATTTTTAATGTCATTTCTTACTTATTTATCAGGTACGGTTGCCGCCTCGTTCAAAAACCTTCAGAATTTGGTTTTTCTAATGAAACACAAAAGCCAATAGACATATGATTGGATGCAGTGCCGCTCACACCAGCAGAAATAAGTATCCAGTGTGTCACACAATTTGTGACACACTGGATACTTATTCTAAATCGTAAATCGAGGCTGCTATCCGTAGAGTAATCTTAAAAATTGTCAAACCGTTCAAAACAACAAGATACTTGCCTCTGTTTAGATGACTGCCAGCTGTCCGGGTGATATAGTGTACCCACAATTTCTTGTTCAGATTCACAGGACCTGCGCACTTTACACGCGTCAATACGAGCGACACCGAGAGCTCAGCGACGACGCTGGCGCAGCCATGACATCCTTGTCGCGCCAGCGCACGCCTCAGGAGGGAGTAAAAAAAATACGTAAGCCCTTTTCCATTACCCGCGCGAGCGCAACGCATGAAAACCCGTTTTCGGAAAGGATGTGCAAACATCGGTGAGGCGCTCCGCCGGAGAAAGGGCAGCGACGACAACAGATTTCAAGGACGGCAGTTTTTCCCCGCAGACACGCCGCTTCGCCGTTACCGACGGCAGAGTGGACGCGGTCGCCGAGCGAGTGTGGCCGAGTTGCGTTGAATGAACGGTGACGTTCACGGCCCCGAGACGTAGTGCATGGGTAGACTACTCATCGGGAGAGATTAATTCTCCTCACGTGCCGGATGCAATTGGCGTGCCGCATTGGTACTGTTGTAACGTGTACGCTGCGAAACCGGAACTCTTCGAGGCACACGTGCTTACGCTGCATTGACAGCGCCGGAATTTCTTGTTGATTGCTCTCTTTCACACAAGTTCCTTCACAAGAACGGCCTCGTAGTAAGGACACGCTCGTAATTTCGCTTAGTAGCACCAATCGGTGCGTTTAAAGGGGAGCCAAGGTGCGCGTATGTTTTGTGGTCGCCTTGAGTGTGGTCTCAAAATGCAGTATATGGGGCATTATTAGTGTGCTGTATGTTTGTGCACGTAAGTTCCCTTCTTTTCTCGTACACTTGTTGACTATTCTCTTCTTTCTGGGGACGAAGAGCATGTTTTCTAATATTATCATCGAAGCAGCTGTCCTGCCTATGTGTGCGTGCGCGTGCGTGGATGTGTTTTTATGCGTGCGATTCGTGTGTGTTTGTGTGTTTCACTATGAGTAACCGTACGTTACCCTAAATTTGCCCCATATAATGTAAACGGAGTGACATAAACTGTATACGAAAATTTATATTTGATTTCTCTTCCAGTCATCTTTGGGAATTCAAGGATGACTTAGAAAATGTCTGGAGCGGATGATATGCCTGGAAAGTGAATCCAAGAACCGACTCTATTACTGGTGGCAAGATATCATGTTATTGCGCGTAATTTGTTCGCACGTACAGTGTTCGACGTGCCTTTGAGTTCCAGGTTTTCTAGAGAGCCTCAACACCCAGGCACATTTTAGTACAGATCAACTCTCACTACTCTTCTCGATAAGTAATGTTCGCCAGGAACAGCGATCGCTGACATCGTATTTAGTCTATGTCTACCTTGAAGCTTGTCAAAATACTTTGCATCTCTCACACATGTTTCGACTGTAGCTACGGTTCGGGGGACTCGTTCACTGGATTTCGTGCCGAGCGGTTGTCCCCCGCGATCCCCAACGACAGCGCACCTCTGGCCGACTGGCTCGCCCTACGCCATCTCCTGACGCCGACAACAGCTCTCGCTGAGTGGTGCCCCGTCCTCGAACTCCTGCGACCGCGTCCACCTTTCCTATATTCTCCTTACTTCCGTATGTGGCTCTCCCTACCCCTCTGTCTCTCTCTCTATACCTTTAATTCCTCCCTAGCCTTTTAATCCCTCCTTACCCCCCCCCCCCCTCGCGAGCTACCATTGAGGTGTCCTCCCCCTGAGAGACAGTTACGGGGCTCACTTTTATCTTCATTTCATTTAAAAATCACTTCGACCCCCCTACGGTTCTATACCGCGACCACAGAGGCAGACAAGGCTAGGTCCTAAGGAGCTTCGCCCGTAAAAGCAAGGTAAGGTGGCGTAGCCAGAACCACACTTTGGTACAACAGACCTATGAAAAAATGCTTAGAGAAGCCTATTAAAAAGTAAATGTATTTACTTTGTAATTGGCTTCAAATAAAGAAAACTGTTCGTGCGCTAGGGAAGCAGGGAGTGCTCAAGTATATGTAAGTATTCGACGTTCGGCTCAACGAAGGCAACTATAACTTATTGCTATATACGAGCCTCAAAAATTTGAAGCTTACATCAGCGTCCAGTGTTAAGATGGTCTTACGATTTTAAGTGCGAAGTATTTCGTTACGTAGTGCAAGCACTTTTGGCGTATACCTACGTATCTATCTATCTATCTATCTATCTATCTATCTATCTATCTATCTATCTATCTATCTATCTATCTATCTATCTATCTATCTATCTATCTATCTATTTATCTATCTATCTATCTATCATCCATATATCTAGCTACTTACGTCTGGGTGCTCTCGTAATCACCCTCTCAACTTGGCGTGAACCAAAACAAGTATGGGAGGATAAGATGGTTTGTCGAAAATGACGCGCTACTCAAGATATGAATAATAGAAAAATCCCGTCACGTACATCGTCAAACACTTCCCTCCAGGCAGCGGCACATACCCTGGTGTGGGTATGTACGCGGGCATGTGCCAAAGGGAATTGGCACCTTGCATCTACCGGAAACGACGAGAACACACATGGATAATTTTAATGCGGGAGCGTTAATAAAAACCTGAGATCGGCAGCATTGACCCGACGAATGCAAAAAATTAATGTCATGGTCCCAGCAGTAATCACACCGAAGCATTCTGTGCGGCAATCAAGGATTGTGCAAGAGAGCCACGGCAGGTCTCGGAACTACTTTCCAAATAGACCATATATCTTTGTGAAGCGCCGATTGTGGTTGCAGTGCTGGCGATACGATTTCGTAAACGTCGCATATATATACCCCTATGATACAGCCATCCCGTCGCGTTCACGTCACTTGTACTTAGGTGCCATGACCTGATGTAGATTTCACGCTGACGTATCAGTGTCCAGGGCTACTATATATCCCAGCGAGCGTGAGTGCTTCATATCAGCTTATCGCTCCTGGTGTTGCTAGTACTGATGTTCCTGTTGGCATCGTTACGCAAGAGCAAAGTACTGGTAACACAAACATCAGGAACTGTTCAGCATATGTCGGTGCATGCAACGTTTGTACGCATATTTAGCGTCATTTCATACCGTGAGGCTCAATAAAGATATAGCAACACTGTCATCTTCCGTCCGCATGCTACGCATAGCGTTGATTCCCAAGGTACGTGGGATCTGCCAAATTTTCAATTTAGTATTGGAGCAGCAGTTGGTGTTCATTCATTGCAATAGTGTCTTGGAAGCAAGGTTTTGTTGGTGGCCGTGAAATGTAATTTGTGAGGCCAACGAGGCACAAGGGGTCTCCACGTGGACGCCGCACGTTGCCCGTTGTTTCAGAAGGTGAACACTGCATTGGCGGTCAGGCCAAGCTTCCTTCCTGTGGGGCGAAAGCTATGTCGCTGTCGTGGAAATTGTGTCTGTTTCTTTTTTATTACATATAGTCTCTACGGTAGTGAACAGATGATAGACTCGCACTTGTGAGCCGTGAGCCATGTTATTGTGATGTGGCAGCCGTGCAACTGCTGAATTAAGCAATTACGCCATGAGGCCAAGTGGATAAAGCAATTTTTTTTCAAAATGTGTTTTTTTCGGTTTCGGGTTATATTTCGCGCGCAAATTATTTCTCGTAGTTTCGCTGCATATACCTCACGTCTTCGCTGTCTTCTTACCAGATGAAGCAAAAATATTAGACCACCCATTCCCTACGGAACCAAAACTGAAATTGTCAGGTTTGTGTGCATTATAAGAGTAGCTTGGTATGTCGTTTTTTTTATATTTAGCAATCATGTTATGTGTGAACATGTCAATGCTTTGAAAGCATCGTCGAAAAGTCAGTTTTCACCATAAACTTCTCACTAGGTGAACCCATGACGCAATACTTGGGTTGTTCACGCTCATGGACACGGATATGAGTCTGTAAACCATCCAATATGCTTTGATCGACATTGGTGTTCATTTAAATAATGGCAACAGAAGCACGCTTGATATTTATAAGCCAATCGGAATCGAGCCTGACACCTAGATCGGAAAAGCATGCCTCACAAACGATCCACGCCACAGCGCAAAAGCACCCCGTCACGTCATAGATGTTGGATTACAAGATCAAAAAAAAATAATTAGATTTACCGCTAGAGGAAACGCTCATAATAGTAAAGGCTATGATAGAACTGGAAACAAATATTGAGAATTTTAGCCTTCGTGGATATTTTGTGTAAGCACTGCACTTGCTTCAGATATTTTTGTGGATTTTCTCAAAACCTTTATTTATGGAATTTCCCGTACGCGAACAGTCATGGCTCTTTTATAACAAACAATTTTTCAATAAAATTTGGCACACTTCTTTATGACAATAATGAACATGCAATGAACCTCAATTAGAAAGATTATTGCATAAGATTTAATATGGTGGCCAGTTATACGCAGGTGTCCCCAATGCTGATGCATGATTTTTTGATTATTTATTCACTATGTCATTTATTACTACTTATAAGATCTCATTTTTTTGTTAATTTCACAATACAAAGCTTCTCACATGTACCTGAATACAATGAAACATTTTTTTAACAAGCAGGACTAGAGTTAGGATTGTTGCCACAAGGCATACACTTTGAAATAAAAGTTTTATTATGAAAAATTAACACAAAATAACACTTTCTTTACAACCCACACATGTCCCAAAAAAGGTGTGGTTTCTAATGCAGAAAAATATTTTTAGTATTTCATTATATAGCTCCTTGAATATTTTCTGCCTTTCAAAAATTTTACGACACTTGGCCTCGTCACCTAATTCTCACTTTGATCGACTTACGATGCGAAAGTATCAGCAAGCGTACGTCCAAAAGGAAGATTGGTACAGTGATAGTGAACGTGACGAATGGCTATAGTTAATAGGAGCACACTGTGCGCCGCCAGTTCTACGAGCCATATCTTGCGTTCTGTACGGCTTTCCGTCAAAGTTTGCGAAGTTTGTTAGCTCCACTTGAAGCCGGCGGGACTTCCTGCCGCGTATCTTCATGATATCGACATCCCGCCGCAGCCCCTCTTCCGTGTCTGTGTGAACATGGTCTTTTCCTTTCCATTATCCGTTGCCGGAAACAAGCGAGTTGCTGCTGCTACCGATCACACGACCCGTTCCGGAATCACATGGGCGCTGCCAACCTGCAGCTGAGCTGCTGGCATCGCCGATTTGGTACTCCATGACCTTACTTATTGCATAGCTTGC